CTGGTCAGATGCTCCTGTTGATGATTGGGGGCTTTTTAAAATCACATTTGTTTTAATCAAGTAAATATTTGAATGAAGAAAAAAACAGGAAATAATATCTGTGAGAGCCTGAAATAGCATTTAAAGATTACCTGAAATACTGTTAGCAAACAAATTTAAGAAATTTAATTTCTCTTTACTGCATACAGGGAAATAGACGAAAGTTTGAATGTTGCCTGTTTGTCCATTGGTAGTGTATTTTCAAACCCCCCTCGCCCCTGAACTGTCCATCATAAATGTTTTTACTTATTTTTATTTTTGTGTAGTTTCTTGGTTGTTGGTTGGGTTTTCATTTGTTGCTTTTTATTTGATATTTTTTCATATTTTTATTCATGTATTACTATTACACACAATATTGTGATTTTTTTTTTACATATTCATACATGCACATGATATATAACAATATAATTTGGTAGTTATCATTCCCCAGGATTTCTTTTTTTTTTTTTTTTTTAATGCCTTTATTTTTATGTGGTGCTGAGGATCGAACCCAGGGCCCTGCATGTGCTAGGCGAGCGCTCTACCACTGAGCCACAACCCCAGCCCTCCCCAGGATTTCTTCCTCCTTCCCTTTCCTCTACTCCACTGGTTTCTCTTTGCTCTCCTTGAGATTCTCCACACCTTTTTTTTTTTTTTTTTCCTTCCTTTCTAGCTTCATATAAAACAAAACATACAGCACTTGATTTTCTGAATGTGGCTTATTTTGCTTAATATAAGATTCTTGAGTTCCACCCATTTTCCTATAGATGGCATAATTTCATTCTTTATGGCTGAATGAAACTTCATGGTGTATATATACCACATTTTCTTTATCCATTCATCCATTGATGGACAAGTAGGCAGGTTTCATAATTTGGCTATTATGCATTATACTGTAAACATGGGTATACATGTATCTATAGTAAGATGACTTTAATTCTTTAAGATAAATACCAAGGAGTGTTTTAGCTAAGTCATCTGGTGGTTTCATTTCTAGTCTTTTGAGGAGCCTCCATACTAACTTCCATAGTAGTTGTACTAATTTACAATCCTACCAACAGTACAAAAGTGTTCCTTCTACCCCCCACATCATCTTCAGCATTTATTATTATTTGTATTTTTGATGGCTGCCATTCTGACTGGAATGAGATGAAATTTCAATGTAGTTTTGATTTACATTCCCCTCATTGATAAAGATGTAGAACATTTTTCATATATTTGTTGGTCATTTGTTTCTTTTGAGAAGTGTATACTTAGTTTATTTGCCCATTTTTTATAGGGTTATTTGATTGGGGTGGTGTTTTGAGATTTTTATATATTCTGGATATTAATCTTCTGCAGAAAAATAGCTAGCAAAGGTTTTTTGCTATTCTGTAGGATCTCTCTTTACATTCTTGATTACTTCCTTTGCTCTGTAGAGCTTTTTAATTTGATGTCATCCCATTTATTTATTCTTGGTATTATTTCCTGAGCTTTAGGGGTCGTATTGAGGGAAGTCATTGCCTGCACCTGTATGTTGGAATGTTGGCCATACTTTTTTTCCTAGAAGTTACTAGGAACAGTTCTATTCTAATTCCTAAGTCTTTGATTCATTTTGAGTTGACTTTTGTGCAGGATGAGAGATTAAGGTCTAGTCTCATTCTTCTACATATGGATAACCTGTCTTCCAGCACCATTTGTTTAAATGGCTATCTTCTAGCCAGCATACTTTTGGTACCTTTGTCCTGGATCAGATTACTGTATCTCTGTGAGCTTATTTTTGTGTCTTCTGTTCTGTTCCATTGGTTGATGTCTGTTTTTATGCCAGTACTATGCAGTTTTTGTTAGTATCACTCTGTGGTATAATTTGAAAGCAAGGATTGTGATGCCTCCAGAAATGCTTTCCTTTTTTTTTTTTTTTTTTTTTTTGGCTTAGAATTGCTTTTGATTACTTGGGTCTTTGATTCTTCCAAATGAATTTTAAGACTATTTTTTCTAGTTCAGTGAAGAATGTCATCTGTTTGGTTTTGATTGTTTTGTTATGTTTTGTTTTTGTGGTTTTTGGGGGGTGGGTACTGGGGATTGAACCCAGGGACTCTTAATCCCTGAGCCACATCCCCAGCCATTATTATTATTATTTTGAGACAAGATCATGCTAAGTTGCTTAGGGCCTTGCTAAATTGTTGAGGTTAGCTTTGGCTTTGAACTGGTGATCCTCCTGCCTCAGCCTCCCAAGTTACTGGGATTATAGGCTTGCGCCACTATGCCCAGGCATGTTGTTGGTATTTTAATAGTGATTATATTGAATCTGCATATTACTTTGGGTAATATGATCATTTTACAATATTAATTCTATGTAGCCACAAACATGAGAAATCTCCTTTCCAAGTCCCCAAATTACATGTTTATTGCCTCACATAGTATCTAGTTGATGAGCCAGGCATGGTGACACACACCTGTTATCCCAGAAATTCTGTAGGCTGAGGCAGGTGGGTTGAAAATTCAGAGCCAAGCCTCAGCAACTTAGCAAGGCCCTAAACAACATAGAGAGACCCTGTCTCAAAATAAAAAAGCTGGGGATGTGGCACAGTGGTTAGGCACCCTGGATTCCACCCCCCATACCTAAACAAATAAATAAATAAATACCTAGTGATGAAAGTGCAATCTTAAGTTTTAATTCCAGTAGTTGTCATTTCTTTTAATAAATCTAACATATTTGGATAGATGTAACCCAGAGCTGCTAATCTTTATATACCTAGCTATTCTTCTCCTTCCCATCTTCCCTCTATCATTTTCTCTCTTCTCCTGCCCTCAATTTATTAAATTTTAAGAAAAGAGTAAAGAACCAAATAACATTTTGACCAGTAAACCTGCTGGTGAAAGTTGAAAATAATAAGGTTAAGTATGCTTGAATTGAAGCACAGTATTATTTACTTGAACATAAGTCTTTGCAACTCCAAATTTCTAATCTTTAAAATAAATGATTTGAAAGTACAGAAAGGCTAGAAATTATTTTTCACCAGAACACTTGAAAGTAACTTTCTTTCCCAAATTTATTTCTAAATAGTAAAAAGGTATGAGTTTTCTCATCATATTTTGATAAGTAGATTCAGTATTAAGAGAAACACTTGTTTTGTTTATCATCTAATTCTCCCAACTTGACCAACCCTAGTAGATTTTTTTGCTGTTGTTTCATCTCTGCTTGGATTTTCTCAACCCAGCCTGATCTTTCCTCCTTCCCTTTCTCTTTGCCTCTTACCACAGTCTTACTCCCACCTTCCCTCAGAAATTTCGGCTTACCAATTTTACATTCTTTAAATAAATTACCTGTTACAAGGAACAGGAAAAATACTGCTCTTAAGTTTATTTTAGATGTACTGGTCAAAATCATTTTGCCCTTATAAAAAATTAGACATAAAGATATTGAAATAGGATATAAAACACTTATTCCTAATAATTGCCTCTGTGCTGTATTCACCTTATCCTTGATGTTTCTTACAGTTGTCCTGATAAACTGATTTCTGGTGATCTGACCACCAGATCTAGTTAATAGATCTCTGAGAGGTCAAATGGAAAAATATACTGGGCCAAACCAAAACCTTATCTATATAAGAACTTGGGGTAAAATATTGCTAGTGTGAAGTGAAAGAGGCCAGTGCAAGCATTTTGTAAGAAAACTAAGTATTCCTAATACGTGGCTGTTTTTAAATTTCTAGTTTCACGTATGAACAATGGGGTGTGATTATTTATTTTTAATCACTATTAGACCTTCTGTGTTTGGCTTTTATTTTCATCTATTTCTATTGATAAAATCACAACCAGTCTCTTTTTATGCCCTGCTGGTAGTAGGGTTGGGGGGCTGAGGGTGACATCATTAACATCTTGGTGGAGCAACTCTTTTTTATTTTTCTTTTTTAAGAAGTTACCATAGAATGACCTGTTGGTTCTTCCCTATTTCTGTATCTGACTTTTTCTAACAGGAAGTTAAAATAATTCTAAATTTATACTCATTGGTAATGCATAGTAAATCTTACCTTCTACCAGTTGCTGGTTTAGTAGGTAAAATACTAGTAAGATCAGATTCTTTCAGCCCTCAACCAAACTAGACTAAATAAACATCTCTCTTTACAAAATATATAGTTATAGTTTTGCCGATTATTGTAACAGAAAATGCATGTCTCCTGTGTTTATAACTCATCCTTAGAATCAGTGTATCCCTTTACCACTCAGTTATTTCTGGTTTTTTTGTTTCATTTTTTTTTAATTGCCTAGGCTCTCCATCGTATTCCCCTTATCCTTAATCTTTCTTATTGTTGTCCTGTTAAACTGATTACTAGTGATCTGATCACCAGATCTAGTTCATAGATCTCAGAGAGATCAAATAGAAAACTATGCTGCGCCAAAAAATAACACAAAAAGAATAACAGGTGGAGGAGGTGGTCCAAATTGGGAGAACAATAAAAGGGATCAATTAGAGAAAGACAGACTTGTTGATAAAGACTCCTCATTTTAGTAGGGGTCATAGTCTGGATTATAGCCATCTTGCTATCTGTTCTTAGTATCATGTAGCAGGCACTCAGAAAATATTGTTAAACAATTAAGAGAGGAAGAGGAAAATGATAAGGTAAACAAGGCAGAGGTTTTCAGGAAAGGACTTATTCTTTGAACACCTTTGTAAATAAACAAACCTGTGATTTAGGAAGATTTTCTGTTCCTGAGTTCTTTAGCTTATAGTATCGCCGAGGTCAAGTCCTTTACAGTAGCATAAAGATATGATCTTACCCATAAGATTAGAAGGGTCTGAAACAATAAGCATTTCTACCATGGAATATTGCATTAGTACCTACCTGGGAAGTAGCGGTGAACATTGGAGATCTCTCATTATTTGAAAGATTTAAATAAAAAGCCAGGGTCTTCCTTTTATTTGATAAAGAATTGTGAATGAAAGAATTTATTTGAAATCATATTATATACATGTGACCTTCTTTTGTTTGTCTTTTTAGGTGGCATCCTTAGCTGGGCCTGGAGGACAAGTGGAAATAGAACAGAACTTTCTTAATAATAAACTAAAGACAATCACTGCTTATTTTGGTGACTTAATCAGAAGACCAGAGTCTAAAACCTAAACTGTGAAGCAGGACAAGGATAAAGATCATGTAATAATAAGAACATTTTTCATATGAAACACACAAAATGTCTTCCTGTATTCGCTGATATTTTATACCCACAGTCTTAAATCACCATGTGATATGGAAACTTTCTGAGTTTAACAAATATTAATGAAGTTTTGAGACATTTGGATGATATTAACTATGTACTGTCTATTGTACAGAAAGTTAGTAACCATCTGATATGAAAAGAGTATAGACTTGCCCCTGTGCTGAATTTCATTGTGTGTCTGTGTAAATATGGGGTTTTTTTTTTAATATATTGGTTTAATATCTTTGTGTGTGTATGTATGTATATACATGTGTATAAAAAATAATTGCTGTATTTTTTTTAACAGAAATGCAAAGAAAACAATGAACAAGTTATATTCTATATCCTGTTTAGCTGCTACTGAAATAATGTTATACATTTAAAGTCTCCCACCCGCTTCTCGGTCCTTTATTATCTCTCTAAAGATAATCACAGCAAACAGTGTATATAGTTTCTTTGGGAGAATAGAAAGGAATTAGAGTGTACCCTTTTGTGCTCTTGTCTCCATTGATACACTGTTCAGTAACCTTCCTTGTTTTTACTTAATGTACCTTTTTTAAAAAAGCAGAAACCTTATCAGTTTATCTTGAAGACCTTTCCTTGTCAGTACATAAAGATAGATCTACCTTATTCTTTTTTAATGACTATTTTGTATTCCATCTTATGAATATGCCATAATTAATTAAACCAGTTCCCTATTGATGGACACTTGGACTCTTCAGGTTTTTGCACTTACCAACTGTTTTGCACTGTCCTTAAGTAAATTGGTTAACTTCTAGAAGTTAGGTATCCAGGGGTTTGTGCATTTTAATTTTGATAGATACAAATTGTCTTGATAAAATTGAACCAACTTTCAGACTTTAGACTTCTAGAATTTTTTTCTTTTCTTCATCTTGAATTTGCTTTTTTAACATCATTTTAGCTTATAAAGTTAGTATTTTTAAGATTTCCATTGCAAAATCAATGTGAAATATATTTTGTAATACAGAAATATATGTTCTTTTTCTATTAAAATGGCAGTGAAAGGAGAAAGAATGTATTGCTTAATTATTCATTTAGCAGGGTGTTCAGTCATTTTTATAAGTAGGTAAGAAGTGATGTACAGCTTCTAACCATTGAGGGTTAGAGCTGGGATAATGTCAGCATGTGAAGCATCAAGCAAAACATGATTTTGAATAAGATAGGGTTAGAGAAAATGAAATAACTTGGAGGAATTTTCAATAGGCACTGAAAAACTAGACAAAAAAACTTGCTGAGGGTATAGCTTAGCGATAGAGCTAAGTGTTTTTTAATTATGCCAACATTAGTCATCAACAGTTCTGTATATGACCCCTAGACCTGGAAGAGTGACAAGATGGGTAAAAGTAGATTTTCAAAATTACCAGTTTTTTTAGTTTTTTTTGTCACAATATTTCATTCATACACTTCTTTCTGCTGTGCATAGTCTTACTTGTATTTAATATTAATATTAAAACTAATTTGCATTCCTGAATACATATGACCATGTATGAGTAGAAAAAGAAGCCTAAGACCTAAAGTATTCTTGTCCCCTCAGTGATATAGCTAATTTACACACATTTGTTGATCATTAGTCCTCAAAAGAACTTTGAAATGTTTTAGTTTATTGTGTGACTCCTGCTCAAATAAAATCTTACCAAGAAGCCAAATATGTAAAATGGACTTTTTTTTTTTTAATGGAACTGTTTACATTTAAAAAGAAGCCAGCGGCCCCTATGGTCCAACGTGGTCTTTTTGTTTTTATTATTAAACTGCAAATTTTTTTTTACAAAAGTAAATACATAACTTTAACAATTTAAGATACAAAGTGAATGATTCAAAAAATGAAATTCGCAATTTTTCTCCCCTCTCTGTCACTTTTCCATTCCCCTTCCCAAAAGTAACCACTGCTAACATTCCTGGTATCTACCCTTTAAGACATTTCCCTAACAATAAAACTTGTATAAACACCATAGAGTGGGATGGGATTATATTATTTTGAAATTTTGTTTTTGATGTTGGGATGGAACTCAAGTTCTAGTGTGTGGTTATCATGTGCTCTGCCACTATACTCCAAGCCCCTAAAATTTTTATTTTTAATGTCTTGCAAAATTTTCTATATCAACGCATGTACATCTGCACTATCAATTTTAACAGACATATTGAACAAATCAGAATTGCTTTAAATATGACCCAATAATGAGCATTAAATTAACAACTTTTGCAATTGCAGATAGTACTATTGGGTATCTAAGTAGAATAGTTTTCTAGAATTGAAACTTTTTAAGTCAAAGGTCTTGCTTTTATTTATTTTTTTTTTTTTAATTTGGTGTATCATATCAAGTTGCCCTCCATTGCCACCAACTATGCATAAAAAGGGCCAGTTTTCCTTACACCCTCAAAAGAATTTTACATTTTGATTTATTACCAATCTGATTAATAAACAATTTTAATTTGTCCTGATTGCTAGAGTGGTATGAGCAAATTTTCATATAATTATTAGCTAGTGCATGCATTGGGCATCTTGTTTTTGCCAAAAGAAGAACTAATTGCTACTAATCTTCTTCCACTAATTTGAAATCTAACCTCTGTGTGTGTGTGTGTGTGTGTGCATGTGCACATGCAGGCATGGTTCTGAAATTTATACCATTGATCCATTCCTGTGTTACATGTTTTTGGTTACTGTAGCTTCATTGTATGTGTTGACAGTTGCAAATTCCACCATTATTGATCTCAGAGTTTTCTGGTGCTTCCTAAGCATTTACTTTTTTAGATGAGTTTATTAATCCTTCAAGAATTTTCTTTGTAACAGCAATGGGGATTGAACCCAGGGCCTTGCACATGTTAGGCAGTATTCTATCACTAAGCTACATCCCTAGCCCTCTTTGGAATTTTTAATTTTCAGTTTAGGAAAAGTGATAGCTATTAAATTTTTTATTCAAGGACTTGTTTATGGTCTTCTGTTATTCTGATCTTTTATATGTATTTCAGTAAAGCTAGTCACTCTATTGTATAAATCTTGCATTATTTTTTACCAAGTTTATTGCTTGATACTTCACTTTTTTTTTTTTTTTTTTTTTTACCAATTTTGAAAGGGATTTTTGTTGATTTTTACATCTTCTAATAGGTGTGTTGTCTGTATGCGAATACTTTGGTTTTCTTTGTTTTGGGGGGTGGTTTGGTTTGGTTTGGTTTTGGGTACCAGGGGTTGAATCCAAGGGTGAGCCACATTCCTAGCCTTTGTTTGCTTGCTTGCTTGCTTGCTTGCTTGCTTATTGTTTGTTTATTTGAGACAGGGTCTCACTAGGTTGCTTACAGCCTTACTAAATTGCTGAGGCTGGCTTAGAACCTGCAATCCTCCTGCGTCAGCCTCCTGAACCATTGAGATTACAGACATGCGTCACCACGCATGGATTATGTAATACTTTGTTATATCTAATCATCTTACTGAACCCTTTTTGATAATTATTCTAAGTTTTTCAGTTGATTCTTTTTTATTTTCTAAATATGTAGTAAGTAATCTACATATGAATTTTTCTCTTAGCCAATATTTATGCCTTTTTATTTTTATTTTTCTGCAGCATAGACTGCCTGAATGGCACTTTGTTCTTGTTTTTTATTTTGTGATAGAAGTTAGAAACATTTTTACATAACTTGCATTAAAATTAAGATTAAATTTAAGATTATTATTGGCCAGACTTTTGGGTTCTTATTTAAATGTAAAGCCTAAATTACTTTAAATTTTTCAAATTATTCGGTCATACCTGCAATTCTTTTCTTTTTTCTCTCTTTTATGAACTGAGCTTTACCACTGAGCTATATCCCCAGCTAAGTTTTCCAGACTGATTTCAAATTTGCAATCCTCAGCCTTTGGAGTCACTGACAGGTGTGTACCACCACATCCAGCTCCATACCTGAAATTCTGCCATTAAATTCTACTATATCATAATGTATTCTTTTAGTTCACTACTGGATTTCATTTGTTAAGTCTACTCTGTTTGGTTTGTTTGTGTTTGTTTTTTGTACACCTTGCCTGGTTTGGATATCAGAATTATACTACTCTGGCAGAATGCTTTAGAAAAATCTTTCACTTTTTTTCTGTGTACTAAGTAACATTGGCAGTATCTGTTTACTGGAGCCTTGTTGGTACAACCCCAAGAAAATGGTCTGGTATGTTTTTGAGTGAGATGCTTTGATTTTTTTATGATATTTCCATTTAAATTTTTTAATGCCTTCATAAGTTTTTTTTAATAATTTATAGTTCTGGGAAGTATACATTCAATATTATTTGGGCTTATTAATATAAAATTAGCAGATTACCTTATGGTATTTGCTTTCTTTTTTTATTTTGAAATAATTTATGACAAAAAAAAATTGGAAAAAATACCACAAGAATATTTGTATGCATTTAATTCATGTTTTCAAATGATAATATTTATCTCAGAACTATTCAGAAATAGACCCATAGTTATCTGCTATCACCATAATGTTGCTATATTTATGATAGTACATACTGCTATTTAATTTGGGGTGTGAGGGTGCTAGGTATTGAATCTAGGGCCTTATGCAAGCCAGGTACATGCTCTACCACAGAGCTACATCCCCAACCCCTTAATTTTTTTTTTAATTCAGCTAAATATTTTTTAAATTAAAATTGATTTGTAAAGGAATTTCAAATATTACCATAAAAATTATGCCTTTAATATTTTATACTAAAAGAAAAGTGTATTGGGCTGGGGCTGTAGCTCAGTGAAAGAGCACTTGCCTAGCATGTGTAAGGCCCTGGGTTCAATTCTCAGTACCACATATAATAAATAAAATAAATAAAGGTCCATTGACAACTAAAAAATATATTTTTTTAAAAAAAGTGTATACTCATTACCTAAAAGAATGCTACATTCTACACTTTAGGAAATGAGTGGGTGGGAGCTAGGAAATAAAACATGGTAAGCTGTGTACACTTGACCAGTATAAGTTATCACAGGAGAAGATGCAAGTGGAGGAGGAATTTCCCAAAACAGATTGGGATAAGAGTTTCCAAGAAAGGAAAGAGCATTTAATAAGACACAATGGCAAAAGAAACCCAAGGATATTTAGGTATCAGTTAATGTCGAATTCACGGAGAAACTGCTAACATTGCAGCTAAAGAGGAAGCACAGGCTCCTATTCCAAACTGAGGAATACTGGCTATAGCCTGATCATAGTAGGAGTTTTTCAGGCTTTGGAACTTGGGAAAACCCAAGGACTGTATGTGTATCTCACATACACACACACACCAAAAAAAAAAAAAAAAACTTTTAAATGAATAGAATAAAAACCTAGGATATTGAGTTTTTTTAACAGACTTTGGCAGAACCCATAGTAGTTCACTTCTGAGATTAGGATATAAAAAACCCATAGCTCCCACTTGTGTACTGATATGCTCTCTTAGATTGCTCACCCTGGGGGAGGCCAACTTTCACATAGACCCTCTTGGTGAACCACTGAGGCCTGCAAACAACTATAGGCATGAGCTTAGAAGTGGATCCCTCACGAGTCAAGCCTAGATGAGACTCAGCCCCAGCAAACAGCTTAACTGCAAACTCACAAGGGGCAGTTGAGTAGACAGGCAGCTAAGCTGACCCACAGAAACAGAGGTAATATGTAAATATTGTTTTAACCCAGTAAGATAGGAATAATTGGTACACAGCAGCAGAGAAGCAATACTATACAATAACCAAGCTAAGGAGTCTGCTAGGTTCACCTGGTTGACCAAAACAAAATCTGAGTTTGGACTTATCATCTGTGTCTGACTGATCAAGAATATAATTTCTAGATAATTGGTGAACCATTGTTTCTTTACTCTTATTTACACTTATATCTTTTTTGGGGGGTGGGGGGGTACTGGAGATTGAACTCAGGGGCACTCAACCACTGAGCTACATCCTCAGCCTTGTTTTGATTTGCTGAGTGCCTCACCATTGCCGAATCTGGCTTTGATCCTTTTGTCTCAGCCTCCTGAGCCACTGGATTACAGGCATACACCATGGCGCCCAGCTTACACTGAGATCTTAATTTGGGCCACCCTTATCTCTGGCATCAATTTCCTTTTTTTGGTACCAGGGATTGAACTCAGGGATGCTTAACCACTGAGCCACATCTCAAGCCCTGTTTTATATTTTATTTAGAGGCAGGATCTCCCTGAGTTGCTAGGGGCTTGCTAAGTCACTAAGGCTCCTTTGAACTCTGATCATCTGTCTCAGCCTCCCAAGCTGCTGGGATTACAGGTGTATGTCACTGCCCCCAGCTTCTGGCATCTATTTCTACCATGGCCACTTAATTGTTCTTGGGCTGTTTGCTGTCAAACTGTCTTCCAACTTTGCAGCCAGAGCAAGAATATTAAAACTCTTTTAACTGGGGGTCTGTCTCTGTGGTGGAGCATATGATTAGCATGCAAGGTTCAAGCCTCAGTACCAAAAAATAAGTGAGCTCTTTAATGACTACTCTGTCCATCTCTTTGCCCAAGTGAAAATGCTCAGTATTACTCCTGAATCCACCTTCAGATTGCTCTCATGGTAGGTTAAATGTCTTCTCAAGGCCTCCTCCTGTGCTAATCTACTGCCGTCAGTTCCCCATCAATTGTGCACAGGCTGCATCCCCTCAGCTGGAACGCACTGCCATGAACCGCACTACACTGCTTGACTCTCAAGGCTTAGCTCCATCTCAATTCTTCAGTAGACCTTCCTTGTCATGTACCTGTCCCATCTTCAAACTTCTGTGGGGTCGTCCTTCCCTGAGATACTGGGGCTCCCTGTACTACCCACCAGAACACCTCCCACACTGCCCTATGACAGTTTATGGACTGCTGTTTCACCCTGAAGCACTGAGCAGAAAATCAGCTAAAATATAAAAATCCTGAATTAATTACAGCCTTTCATAGTTTAACTAGGAATGTTATCGTTGTCCTTTTTTTTTCCCGAAAATACACCAAAAT